AAAAAGCAAAAAAAAAAAAGACAAAACACGATGCTTTGTCTCTGTCTACAAGCAAATTCGTGTTTATATATTGATTTTTAAAAAAGAGGAACGAAGGAATCAATTGATCTGTCAAAAGCAAAAAAAAAAAAAAAATGGTTAAAGGAAAAAGGAAGATGGAGATGATGTTACTACTTATACTTCAGATAGTGGTGGCGGCGACGGCGGCGAATGTGACGTACGACCACCGTGCTTTAGTTATCGACGGGAAAAGGAAGATTCTGATATCTGGTTCGATTCATTATCCTCGGAGTACTCCTGAGGTTAGAAACTGTACACTGTTGTAACGCATGTGACAGCCTGTCTTAACAACAAAACTCTGTTTTTGATATTTATGTATTTTTATTTAATTGTGTTTTTTTTTTTTTTTTTTTGGTTAATAGATGTGGCCGGACCTTATACAGAAATCTAAAGACGGTGGTTTAGATGTTATAGAGACGTACGTGTTTTGGAGTGGTCACGAGCCTGAGAAGAACAAGGTCGGTTCGGTTCTTTTTGTTTTTTTCTTTATTTTTGGAGTTTTCTCTGACTCTGCAATTTTTTTTTTTTTTTTTTGGGTTGCAGTATAATTTTGAAGGAAGATACGATTTAGTGAAATTTGTGAAGTTAGCTGCTAAAGCTGGTCTCTATGTTCATCTACGAATTGGTCCTTACGTCTGTGCTGAATGGAATTACGGGTACAAATTCGGGTTTACTGGTTAAAATCCGTCTTTGGTTTGATTGATTTTGAGTTTTTGTGTGTGTGTGTGTGTGTGTGTGTGAAACAGTGGTTTCCCAGTGTGGCTGCATTTTGTACCAGGAATTAAGTTTCGAACTGACAATGAGCCGTTTAAGGTAATGGTTTGGTGATGTGTCCTTTTAACTTTTTGTTTCTTATGTTGTAGTTTAGTTAGTTAGTTGTTAAAGATGGGTTTGGTTTTTGTGTGTTGTAGGCGGAAATGCAGAGATTTACTACCAAGATTGTTGATTTGATGAAGCAAGAAAAGCTTTATGCATCACAAGGAGGTCCTATTATTCTCTCGCAGGTTATTATTATTCTGAGTACTACTTGTTGTATGTAGCTTGTAACATCTCTTATGATTCTCATTTTTGTTTTTTTTCTTTATTTGGATGTGTTAGATTGAGAATGAATACGGGAATATTGCTTCGGCGTATGGTGCTGCGGGTAAAAGTTATATCAAGTGGTCTGCTTCTATGGCTCTTTCACTAGATACTGGAGTACCGTGGAACATGTGTCAGCAAGCAGATGCACCTGAGCCCATGGTGAGTTTCTAAGAATATTCCAATGTACTTGGTAATTAATTGAGTGTAGTAGTAGTATTAGTAGCGAGTACTTGGATAGGTAGTGTGTCAAATTTGTGTGGTGGTTAGTCTATCTGATTGAGACATTCTTGCTGTTTGTTTGGTAGATCAACACATGCAATGGTTTCTACTGTGATCAGTTCACTCCTAACTCAAATAATAAACCCAAGATGTGGACAGAGAACTGGAGTGGCTGGTGAGTCTCTTTTTGCTTTTACTAATTTGTTTGTTTCCAAATTTGGCATTTAACTTACTTTCTTGTATATCCCACAATGACCAGGTTCCTTGGTTTTGGAGATCCTTCTCCTTACAGACCAGTTGAAGATCTTGCATTCGCAGTTGCAAGGTTTTACCAACGAGGTGGAACTTTCCAGAATTATTACATGGTAATAAACACAAGAACCAAATAGTTTTGTGTACTAAGTTCTACTTCTGTACTCTATTGACCAAACTGGTTTTGGTATTGTCTTGTACAGTATCACGGTGGCTCAAACTTTGATAGAACAAGTGGAGGACCCTTGATATCTACTAGTTATGACTATGATGCTCCAATTGATGAGTATGGTACGGATTCTACTACTGCATATCTTTGTTTACCCACAAAAGTGTGTGGATCACTGGAGTTGTAATATATTTTGTTGCAGGACTTCTTAGACAACCAAAATGGGGACACTTGCGAGATTTACACAAGGCTATTAAGCTTTGTGAAGATTCATTGATTGCCACAGATCCAACAATTACATCTTTGGGTTCAAATTTGGAGGTAATGATACCTTCATGTCACTCTCATGCTTAAAAAAATGGTACTTCTAAATATGTAAAGTTTTGTCTTTATAGGCTGCTGTATATAAAACATCTGGATCATGTGCTGCTTTTCTTGCAAATGTTGGCACAAAATCTGATGCAACTGTGGTTTTTAATGGACAATCATACGTCTTGCCTGCATGGTCAGTTAGCATCTTGCCGGATTGCAAAAATGTAGCTTTCAACACCGCAAAGGTTTGTTCAATATCATCTTTAAACTGTTAAGCTTATCGCTACTTATCATATCGCTGATAGGAACAACTTACTAATATTGATATCTAATATGCATATCTAGAAAAATGCTGCAACTGAGTCTACCACATTTGCTCCTCAATCATTGAAGCCTGATGGTGGTTCATCTGCGGAGTTAGGTTCACAATGGAGTTACATTAAAGAACCTATTGGGATTTCCAAGACTGATGCATTCTTGAAACCTGGATTGTTAGAGCAGATAAACACAACAGCTGACAAAAGCGATTACTTGTGGTACTCTCTAAGGTAGAGTAGGCCAATGCCATTTTCTCAGTAATTTCTCTTCTTGCACAAGATGCTTGGTTTTATGTTAACAGAGCTTTTCTGTGTTTTAATCTTTAACAGGATGGATATTAAAGGCGATGAGACTTTCCTTGACGAAGGATCTAAAGCCGTACTTCACATTGAATCTATTGGTCAAGTGGTCTATGCTTTTATAAATGGAAAACTGGCCGGTACATAAATACTCTTTGAGTTTTCACAAGCAGTTGAAATTAAGTTTGGCACTAAGTTTATAAACTATACCAATGATACATATTACATACACACTTTGCGGTTGCAGGAAGTGGACATGACAAACAGAAGATTTCTTTGGTTATCCCGATTAATCTTGTACCCGGGAAGAACACAATTGATCTCCTTAGTGTTACCGTAGGGCTTGCGGTACGTCATCTTCGTTTCTAACCTCATCATTACTGCACAAGATGTTTACTAGGCAGGATTAACTCAACTAATGTATTTAACTTATTCCCCAGAACTATGGACCTTTCTTTGACTTAGTGGGAGCAGGAATAACCGGACCTGTGACACTTAAAAGCGCAAAAAGTGGTAGCTCAATCGATTTGGCTACACAGCAATGGACTTATCAGGTGCATTACAATAATTCTCCATTGGATTTGAATCAACCTCAAGAATCTCTTATCATATTTACTGCTCCTAGCTCGAACCTCCGGCTATATCAAACTTTAACGATTGTGATATATAGGTTGGACTCAAAGGGGAAGACACAGGTTTAGCAACTGGAGATTCTTCTGAATGGGTTTCAAAGTCTCCTTTGCCCACTAAGCAGCCACTGATTTGGTACAAGGTGATGATGGTTCACCAAAAAAACACATTTTGACAAAATTCTTGTACATTCTTGTCACTCTCTAACAATAGCTTCTTACTTTTCTTAGACAACATTTAATGCTCCTTCTGGGAGCGAGCCAGTAGCGATAGACTTCACGGGTACAGGAAAGGGCATTGCATGGGTGAATGGACAGAGCATAGGTAGGTACTGGCCAACCAGTATCGCAGCAAACAACGGTTGCACAGATTCATGCGACTACAGAGGATCTTACACTGCAAAAAAATGCGTCAAGAACTGTGGAAAACCTTCACAGACATTGTAAGTACTAATCTTTACAGACTTTGGTTTATCAAGATTAAACTCTTCCACAAGCCCAAGTACTGTAATTGTTTTTTTTTTTGTAGGTATCACGTACCTCGCTCGTGGCTAAACCCGAGCGGGAACACACTTGTTCTCTTAGAGGAAATGGGAGGAGATCCAACACAAATATCATTCGCTACAAAACAAACAGGAAGCAGTTTATGTCTAACAGTGTCACAGTCTCATCCACCTCCGGTGGACACATGGACATCAGACTCGAAAATCTCTAACAAACACAGAACCAGACCGGTTCTTTCCTTAAAATGTCCTGTCTCCACTCATGTCATAACTTCTATAAAATTTGCAAGCTTCGGTACACCTAAAGGTACTTGCGGTAGCTTCACCTACGGCCATTGCAGCAGCTCTCGCTCTCTCTCCCTCGTCCAAAAGGTCTTATATAATCTCTCTTTTTCTTTTTCCTTCTAACCTTCATTTCCTATATTTACTCATACTTGGAGTTTGACTTGTGACAGGCATGTATTGGATTGAGGAGTTGCAACGTTGAAGTCTCTACTAGAGTCTTCGGAGAACCTTGTCGTGGCGTCGTGAAGAGCTTAGCTGTTGAAGCTTCTTGTTCATGAGCTCCTCCGGTTCCTTTATTTGATATTTTAATGAAGTATGTAATTGTTGAAAATGAAAATAAAGCAAATGAAATGGATAATAATATTAGCTTTATGGTCTTTGAATCCATTATTTGTAGATTCGTTACTATTCGCCAACTTTATACGAAAAAACTAGGTTTTACCCCGTGGTACACCACGGGTTCATAGTTGGATTAATTTGTTTTTCCTAATTTTTATAAAAGAAGTGTTTTGTAAGGTTAAATTGTACCTTATCGTAGTGAACAATAAATATTTTGTTTATTTGAATGTGATGTTTGTCGAATTGTTTCTTCTCTATTAATAACTTAACCATGGTTTTGTGGGAGTCATATTATATTAAAAAAAATCAAGGACATTTAGCACTTACATAATTACACAATATTTTGTTCACAAAGTATTCACACTTTAGTTATTGTGCATGCTTAGTCAGAAATTGTTTGGTTAAGTCCGAAATTGTTTGGTTACTTTTACACATATTTATTTATCCCAAGAACCATATTTTAAAGAGAGGCCAAAAACTGTCATCAAGTTGAGATAAGGAAAATAAAAAATTAAAATGGCCTTTCCGTTAAAGTTTTCAAACGGTGTCTCTTTCACTTTCCTTCGAGACAAACCGATCGTATCTAAAATACAAGTACCTGAATCGAACATGAAGGTAATTGAACTTGAATTTCCCTTCTTTGTGAGAAAACCCAGAAATTTAATCTATCTATCTACTTACTTTCTCATGTTCCAAACTCTAGTTTTCATCGCCTGAAATTTATAACGATGTTGGCATCTAGAAGATTCAAGGATGATGGTGCAGCAATCGATTGGTTTCAGAATATTCAAGGATGATGGTGCAGCAAATGATGGTCCTGTAGAGCATGCAAAGGTTTTCTTATGTAAATCGATTGGGATCATTTCGAGAACTCTGGTTCACTATCTTGAATCTTCCAATTCTCAATTGATATAATCCTATTTTGAGTTTTATGGTCTAATTAATGCCTTTGTGAATTATTTTAACTTCATCTTTCTACGTTTCTGTTGATCCAATACATCTGACTTATAACTTGTTGCTAATTACAGGTTTTAATTGGATAATTTTTTTTTGGGGAAGTGATTCAGGTATTACATGTTTATATTTAATGGAAGAATGTTGCTTATGTGAATACCGAGTGCTTTAATCTCCTATATGTTGTTCTCTATTTGTTGTCTGCAGTTTTTAAACTCTATTATATGGAATGGTGGATAACACCGGTTTAAGGACGAACAAAATTGGATTAGAAGGTAGAATTTATATTCAACCGAACTAAGGAGTTTGTGTTTCAGAATTCTTGCGGATTCAAGTCACTTATTAGCATATAAGAACTATGCTTAGCTAATTGAATGAGTAAGATAACTGCAGACTTCAATTAGTTTTTTTTAACAACATATGTGAAAACTATAAGGTGCCGTTTACTCAAAACATTGTTCTCTATTTGTTATATGCAGTTTTTGAAGTCTTTTATATGGCATCGTTGACATGTCCGGATAAAGAACGCAGGACATTAGACAATAAGGTAAACTTCATACTCTACTTCAGTATGGAAATGGTTGTGCATGATTTATGGTGATTAAAAACAATTCCCAAAATATAAGATCTAGCAATTCAA